CCCCCGCGCGCCCCACTCCCTCCGCGTTCCGGGCCCCATGGAGCTGCTGGCCGCAGCCTTCAGCGCTGCCTGCGCCGTGGACCACGACAGCTCCACCTCGGAGAGCGACGCACGCGACTCGGGGACGGGGCACCTGCCCGGCAGGTGAGCGTCCTTCCCGCGGGCGCCCAGCGACGGCCGCCACCCGCTCGCTCGGGCGTCCAACGCGGACCCCCGCGCCGACCCCGCGCCCCTGCCCACCCCGGGCCTCGTCGGACCCGGGTCCCCAGAGGGTGCGTCTCGGTCGCTCTCTTTCCGGCCCCCGCCAGTCGCCTCTGCGACTTCGCCCCGAATTCCCTGGGTGTGCGTCCCGCCTGGCTCTCCCACCTCGCGGATCTTGACCCAGGGCCCGGGGCATGGGGTCCTCAAGGTTCCGGGGCTGCGACAAGCGGGGGGCGCGGTAGCCTCTTGGCCGCGGGGCCGTCGGGGCCGCCTCGAGTCGCCGGGCGCAGGCAGGGCGCGCCAAGTTTCCGCTGCCTGCCCACGAGCTCGAAAAACATGAAGGTTTGGGCGGGCTGGTGTGGGATGAATCACCCCGTCGCGCCCTGGTGCGGTGACAGAACGGGCCTAGGGGGCCTGCCCGGCTGAGGCTGCCACTGCGCCCCTGTGCCCCTCCGCCTGGATGCCCAGGGCTGGGTGCCTGAGCCAGCAGCCACCCTGGCGACGCGTCTTGCGAGCCCGCCGAGGTGTGCGTCGTTGCTTAAAAATAACTAGCTTGCTTTCCTCCCCTTGGCAGCGAGTCCTCCTCCACCCCTGGAAATGGGACCACACCCGAGGAGTGCCCAGCCCTGGCCGACAGCCCCACCACCCTCACCGAGGCCCTGCAGATGATCCACCCCATTCCTGCCGACTCCTGGAGAAACCTCATCGAGCAGATAGGTGGGTGAACCTGGTAGGCATCTGCTTCATTTTGTGCGTGCCAGGGGGATGCCAGAGTGGGCCCGTGCACATGGGATGCTGCTTTGATTTCTGTGGTTCTAAATGGCTCCGTGGGCAAAACTGCCAGGTTTTATTGGTGCTGCACCCCCAGGCTAACTCAGCAAGTGTGTGTCCAGATAGAGATGTCCACTTGCCCTCTGTCCCCTGTCATGTCTGCCAGGAAGATGGGGGTGCAGTGACATAGTTGAGCAGGAGGTCCTTCCTTGAGCTCCCAGCAGGGAAGGGCTAGGAAGACCTGGGGAGGGAAGAGTGTGCACAGGGCCCTGGTGTTCAGAGCAGGAGAGGCTGAGGTAAGGACCCTAGCTAGGAAGGAGACCTGCGCAGGGCTCTGCTCTCCCAGGGAGCCCCATGTTCCCATCCAGTTCCTGTGGAGCCGCAAGGAAGCACTGTGAATACCCTAGGGGAGCTCACATGTGTTCCGATAACTCCAGCACTTGCATTTAAAAAAAAAAAAAAAAATTGCCAGTGACTTCAGAGGATTTCTCCTGTCATCAACAGTGAGAGGTGGCATGGTTTCCACTCCTCTGGAAACGGCCCAGGCTGCTTAAGTGTATTCTTCGACGTTGTTAAAACAGCTGGCTCTGTACTCACTTAAATAACAATTCTTGATTTAAAAGCTTTCTTCCCTAAGTATGATTGTTCTCCAGTCCCATACCTCAGATGAACAGAGTGTCTCCAGGATGGAAGCTGGAAGCAAGAGGCTTTGCCTCGTCCCTGAGGCCCTGCTGGAAGCTGGTGGTGGAGCCACTGGGTTGCAAGGCTTCTTCCCTAAATTGTCCCTAGAGTCCCCCAGTGCATCAGGCTGTGGGAAGCAGTCAGTGGCTTTTGCTTTGCATATAAGGGGAAAGGGTCATTTGAAACTGATGGTCAGGTAGGAAATCCTGGTTTTGAAAGAAAGCCCCCAGGCCTGTCCCAAACTTTCTGGCAGTCAGTCTGGGGCGGAGACTCTGTTGTCTGCCACCCATAGGGGCCCAGCCAGCTGTGATGAGGCGCTGCAGTGGCCTCTCCAAGAGACTTCCTCCCAGGCGGCCGCTGTGAAGACACAGGGCTGGGCTGAGGCACTGTCTTGGGTCTCAGTTTCCTCCTTGGCAGGAGTAGAGCCTGCCATCTGGTGTCTCATCCCCAGAGGTCCTCCGCAGTACATGCGGGGTATCTTCCACCCCTGGGGGTGCACAGATGTGGGATGACAGTGTGGGGCTGTCCCCAGCCATCTCACAGTCACACCGGGGGACTTCATGTGGTGCTCGGGACCCTGCAGGAGCCTGGCTGCTTGTACTGTGAGTGACGTGGTCCTCTGCCAGGTGGCAGGAAGGGACGGAGGTTTCCAAGGACACAGAGGAATAAAGGGGTGGAAGTGGAGTGAATTGGGGCCATCGTGTGGCCCACTGGGTTGGATTTGGCAGCAGCTGCTGGCAAAGCCAGGCAAAAACATGCTGGGACCATGTGGGACGTGATGCCTGGCTGTTGTCACGTTGGCTGCAGCCCTGGTGGGTCCCAGGCCTGAGAGCCCGTAGGAAGTTTTGTGGGTATGTGTGTGAGTATGCTGAATACACAGAAGGTGAATGTTTGAATTTAAGGTTTCTTACAGTAAAAGATTTGGTGCCATGAATCCCCCCCCACCCCAGAATCCTCTCTTGCTTTAAACACTGATCCCATTGCCCTTACCACTTTCTTGGTCTTACATAGTCTTTTGTTTTGAGATGGGGGTCTTGCTATGTGTTTCAGGCTGGCCTTGAACTCATTATGTAGCCTGGGCTGGCCTTGAACTTGTAGAGATCGTCCTGCCTCAGCCTCCCAAGGGCTAGGATTACATTCTTGCCAGTTTCTGACGCAGTTCTGGAAGTGCTCTTTCCCGCCTTTGTTAGGTAAGATAAAAATACAGTGGCTACTGCTGTTGAGTGTCACTGGGCAGAAAGGCTGGCCCACAACAGCAGGACACTGTGTCCTTATCCACACTACTCACTTGGTCTGGCACCATGTGCTTTCTGGCTCCTCCCCAGAGTCAAAATGACCACAAAAATGAAACTCAGAGGCAACCACGGCCATGCAAGTAACAGCACTTACAAAAGAAGACTCCAGAGCTGCTTCAGAAAGGGGCAAGAGTGAAGGGACCAGTGTGTGCAGAGTGAGGGGGATTTGGAGCGTTCACACAATGTGTATAAAAGGAAGCCCACATTCACTGTAGTTTTTGATCACAGCCCCATGTGTGCGTGTGTGCCTGTGTTATACGTGATGGGCGTGGGCTGCTGTTGTCTATGTTGCTTGACACATAGATGCTGCTCACTAAATACATAAATGTTGCCCACTAAATTTAAATACAAATAGAAATCAGTAGATACAGAGACAGAGCATAGTGGCGCACGCCTGTAATCCCAGCACTGGGGAGGCTGAACACAGGAAGATCACTGCGAGTTCAAGCTGTGTAGTGAGACCCCTTCCAAATACATTTAAAAAAAGAAGAAAAGCAAAAAGAAATCAGTAAATACAAGTAATAAAGGATGCCTGCCCTTTAGAAATTTCAATTTGAAAAATTGGTGTCTTTAAGAAGAGGGATTTGGAAGGAGTCAGGTGTTGGGACAAGGGGCAGGGGTCACTGTCCTGCAGGAGCGAGGCCAGCTGGGAGCAGGTCGCCTGGCAGCAGCCTCTTCGACTCTGTGACTGTGAGATGCAGGGCCCAGCCATGCAGGAAACTCACCTTTCACATAAAGTTGCACCCACGTAAATGTACAAAACACAAACTAGGAAAAAAAACAAACAAACAAACCACAAACTAGGAAAAGGTGTACAGAGATTTCATCAGAGACCCTGTGTTTCCTCCAGTAATCTACTCTTTGTATAGTAATTAGAATTTAAGCCAAATAAAAATGAAAGGTTAATCCCTAGTACTGTGTGCCATGCTGGCCTGCACCAAGCCAGCCACTGAGACTGGGTGTGGTGGTGCATGCCTATAATCCCAGCTCTGGGGAGGCTGAGACAGCAGGATTACTGCGAGTCTGAGCTGTGAAGTGAGACCCTGTACCAAATAAATAAAGATATAGATACCTTGTGAGAGAAAAAAAGGAAATTTAAAAGATTCTAACATTACTTGAATGTAGCTTTAGCTACAAGTAAAAAATACACTCAGCAAAAGTGACCACAAGTGGTAGAGGTGGTTTCTCTCAGTTAATGAACAAAAAGAAGGAAGGTCCCTTTGCCTAAATAGTCACCAACTGCTTTGTTTCCCAACTTCCTTTGGGTCTTGTGAGACGGAGGAGATGCCTACAGTTGCTCCAGGCTTCACATACTGGAGCAGCCACCCATAAAAGCAGGAAAGGTGGTTTGTCTACTTGGGACACCATTTTGAGAAGCCTTTAGACAGTATCCCCCTTACTCTTTCTCCTTGGCTAGTATCTTAATCTATTCTTCTTCTGTAATAAAAATACCTTGGACTGGATGTCTTAATGTGTTTTGTTTGTTATAACAAAATACCTGGAGCTGAGTCCTTTATACAGATAGAAGTTTATTTAGCTCCTCTGTTGAGGAACTCAGCATGGCAAATAGCATCTCAGGAAGGGTTGCCTCAGGGGCCAGATCGTTGCTGTTGCTCTTTGTAGAGCACAGAGCAGTCACACCTGAGCCAAACCTTGACCCCTGGGAAGCCGGGGGTGGAGGGAACAGGGGAGAGGTAGCTCATAGCAGCTACCACGAAGTGATTTCAGAAATACTATTTTCAGCCCATCTACCCACAAAGCTAATATTTTTGACTTTCAGTGTTTGCATCCCACTGAGAAGTTGCAGATAGTATTTACCCAGGATTTGGCAGCTGTAGCATGCATTAGATGTATCTCTGAACCTAAACAAAGCTGCTAAGGGAGTAGAGGTGTAGCTCAGGGGTGGAGAACTTGCATAGCATGCTCAAGGTTCTGGCTTGATCCCCACAGTGCAGGGGTAAATGTTAAAGGAGACAACTTCTGTGGACTCTGGAGGATGCATTGTTTGTTTTGTTTTGCTTTGCTTTTTGAGACAGGGTCTTGCTCTGCAGCCAAGGCTGGCCTCGAACTTGTGGTGCTTCTCCTGCCTCAGCCTCTTGAGTACTGGGATTACAGGCCTGTACCACCACGCCTGACCAGAGGCTATGTTTTTAGAAGGTGTTCAGCGATGTTTGAGTGCCTTCCAGGTTGCGGCTCATTGTTAGGCGCTGGAGAATGAACCCAGCTCCACCTGCAAGAACCAGTGTAGGCAGTGTCAGAATTGCAGGGTAATTGTTCTACAAGTACGGTCATTCTCTCTGGTGTCACAGTGGCACTGGCTTATGCGGTGACCTGGGCCCTAGCTTCATATTTTTAGCCTGGGTCACATTTAGCGTAGATTCTGATTTTCTTTTTCATTCTTTTGTCACATGAACTCCAGGTTGGATTCTGCTAGATTGTGACACAGTAAACACAGAACCTTAATTGTCTGGGTTCAGGGTCCCTCCCCTTCACCCAGAAGCTTTATAGTGTGGATTAAGAAATGTAGGGAGCCAATTAATTCCCAGGGCAGATTAGCAAGGTTTCCGCTCAGGAGTACAACTCAGGGAGCCATAACGGGGACATTGCGAGCGGCCTGTCTTTCCTTCCTGCCACTTAGATAGATTTGCATGGGCCCTTGGAGTCCTTACCCTGAGGAGATGCTGATTTTCCTTCAGCATGAAGATTTACAACTACTCTCATTTCACAAATGAATATACTTGAATTTTAATGCTGAAGCATTTAGGGCCATGGAAGGATCCTTTGGGGGATATTAAAAAACATAATTGGGGCATTTCCGTCGACTCCGCATGCACGGCAACAAACACACACAGTTCCGCGTTCTCACTTTGCCTAGTGCGAGTGAAAAAAGCATGTATTTGTGGGGTGCAGTTGGCAATGTGTTCAGGGGTGACTTTATTTGTTGGGGAACATGTGCACGCTGCTCTGTCCCTAGAAAAGAAGACAGCCGTGTTTTCTGCAACCCTGGAGGCTGCTGCCGAGACACAGCAGTCTGGCTTTCTTGGTGATATTTATCTAAAGTCCTTTTCTTTTTTCCTATTAAAACTCTTTGATCCCAGGGCTCCTATATCAGGAATACCGAGACAAATCCACTCTCCAAGAAATTGAAACGAGGAGGCAGCAGGATGCGGAAATCCAGGGCACTGAGGACGGGTCCCCAGCTGGCGAGGATACCCCTGAGGATGAGGAAGAGGAGGAGGAGGAGGAGGAGCCAGCGAGCCCGCCTGAGAGGAGGCCCCTGCCCCAGATCTGCCTGCTCAGCAACCCTCATTCGAGGTTCAACCTGTGGCAGGACCTCCCTGAGATCCGGAGTAGCGGCGTGTTGGAGATCCTGCAGCCCGAGGAGGTCAGACTGCAGGAGGTAAGTGCTGCGGCTTCGTCCTCAGGGACACGGGTGTGGGAGGGATCTGGGGTGAGGGCATGGGTGTGATGTCCCACTGGAGACTCTCGAAGGGCTCATCCACAGATATGACTGTTATTTCCCAGGCAGCGGCAGCCAACTGCCCACCCTCTTGGGCAGCTCACGGCTGGCAGGGTGAGTGTGCGGAGCGTTGCAACCTTGTTGTGCAGGCAGATTGCATTTTCATACCTGTCTCTATTGTTGTGTGGTTTCCACACCAAATGGTGCTCCACTTGAGGCAAGGTTAACTGCGGGTGACTGAAATTGTGGCCCACTCCACCACTATACTGGGGGCATTTGAACTTTGTGTCTTGTTTTGTTTTTTATGCATTTAGTACACGGTCTACAGGGTCTCACTACACAGATCAGACTTGTAGTGATCCTCCTATTTTCAGCCTCCCAAGTGCTGGGATTATGGCGTGCACTACCACGCCCTGTCTCATTTGTCATCTCATTGTGCCCTGGGGGCAGAGCTGGCAGGGCAGGCCAGGGCTCGAATCCCCAGCCCTTGGGTCTGCCTAAGCAGGTGCTTTAATCTACTGAGCTATCTGGCCAACCCCAACTTGAACTTTGGATGGGGAAAGACTTTGAAAGAAAACCTTGGGACAGCCACCCCCACCCCATGAAATAATGCAGAAACTGGGGGCCCGTGTGAGTCACCTTTTTGTTCAGTGGCCCGGTGAACACCAGCTGACATGAAGCTAACTGAGGTCAAGTCACAGAGGGGCCTGAGGGCTTGCTGCTGCCAGGGGGCAGTCCCTTAAAACTAACCAAGACAGAGCAGGGCATGGTGGCGTATGCCTGCAGTTGTAGCACTCAGGAGGCTGAGGCAGGAGGATTGCTGTAAGGTGAAGGTCAGCCTGGACTGCATAGGGAGACCCTGTCTCAAAAAAAAAGACAAACAGGGACACAAAAGAAAGGTGAAGCATCTGAATGTTATTTGAGGACATTGTGCCTAGGACATTGTATGACTTAGAGGGACAAGAATATAGTTGATAGTCAGGAGAATGGACGGTCAGAGTTGAGGAAATGCATGTGTGTTAGGAATTTTTGTGTTAGCAATGGGAGCCAGGGTCTTTGCTTGCAGGGCAAGTGCTCTGCCTTTGAGCCACACCCGCAACTGCAGCCCCTCTGAGATTTTAAAAGTGGATATAGATGGGAAGAAATGAAGCCAGCAGGTCATCGGGCCTGTCCCTGCAGCGCCCTATCTCCACCCTCCGCACAGGTCCAGCCTGAGCCGGGTCTGGTCCCAGCTTCGGCGGCTGCCTTTCCCTGCCCTCTTGGTCTCTGAGCTACATTCTGGGCACCTTCGCTCTTGCACTTTATTTTTATTAGACAGCGCCTGAGATGAGGGAGTCACTTAAGCTCAGTGGCGTGAGGCCAGCTTAGGCAACACTGCCAGACCCCCATCTCTTAAAAAATAAATAATCTTAAAAAAAATTAAAAATAAATAAATAGCCAGGTGTGGTGGCGCACACCTGCAATCCCAGCCCTTGGAGGCTGAGGCAGGAAAATCACATCATGTTTGAAGTGGGTCACATAGTGAGTGCCAGGCTAGTCCGAAATGCATGGGGAGACCGTCTCAAAATGAAACCAACTCAGTAAGTAATAAGCAAATAATCAATAAAAAGCAAAACAGTAGCCTCTCCACCATTAATTACCAAGACTGGAGAAAGCTCTGGGTCCGTGTCTTGTAACCCAGACTCAGGTTTTCCAGCAGACCTGCTGCTAGGAAATGTCAGCTGCATAAATCCAGATTTTTAAAGGTCCCCCAGATGACGCCAGTCCCACCCAGCAGAATCAGGCAGATGTTTCAACTCTGCTGCCCTCATCACTTGGGAGCAGTGGCTTGTGAGTGGTGGCCTCAGGGGCTTGCTTTCTGGTAAGGAGCGCTCTGCCGTAAACACGGTCATGCAGAGCTTAAAAACCCCGCATGAGCCCTTGCCAGTACCAGTGGGCCTAAAAGCAGAGAAGCAAGGGGCTTGCCACATCCCACAGAAAAACAGAGGAAACAGCAAAGACAAGCAGCGTGAAGGAAGGCGAGAGAGTGAGTAAGAAAAAGACCACAGTCAGAGCAATGAATGTGAATCGCTGGAAGTCCTTCCTGAAAGGCAGAAGCCTTCAGGGGGTCAGAAGATAAGCCTGCCTCTGTCCAGCAGACAGCAGAGCCCAGCACGCTCCACCAAGGTCAACAGAGGCGCCCGGGGCCGTCCCAGGTGTCCTGAACTTATATAAAGACACCACTTTATTTTTATTTATTTTATTTTATTTTTTTACATATTTAGTACAGGGTCTACAGGGTCTCACTACACAGATTGGATTTGTAGTGATCCTTTCCTGTTTTCAGCCTCCCAATTGCTGGGATTACAGGCATGCGCCACCACGTCCAGTTTCAGTCTTGGTCTCACTGCGCACCAGGGGCAGAGCCGGCACAGCATGCCAGGGATCAAACCCTCCCTCCCCTGCGTCTGCCTAAGCAGGTGCTGAGCTATCTGGCCAGCCCTATTTTTACTTTTATTTATTTATTTTTTGTGGCCAGCTCAGCCCACTTTGAGAGCAGGGCTGGCGTGGCCTGTAATGCTTGCTGGGGATTGAACCACAGTCCCTGTGCACTTACCTAAGCTTGCCTGAGCTTGCCTAAGCAGATGCTTCAGACTGCTGAGCTATCTGGCAGCAGCAGTGTGCCTTTCTTTTGACTGTGGACCTCCCTGGAGGACCAGTTCTAATTTCTTTGTCCTGATAGAGCACAGCCATCAGGCTCTGTCTGCTTTTGAAGTCTAGACACTTATGGAGATTCTAGGGGCAAAACCCTTAGCTACCACTGAGAGGTTCCCATGGTGTTTAAACTGGCTTTAGCAAAGTTAGTGCACTTGTGTAATTCCGGCTGATGCAGGAGGTTATGAATTCCAGGCCAGCCTGGGCTTCATAGTGAGTGCAAGGCCAGGCTGTACTACATGAGACCCTGTCTCAAATGAAGAAAAGAAAGAAAAATACTGTTCAGCAGCAGTTTGGTTTGGGTTATAGTTTTCAGCAGCTTGGCTTTACTGGATTCTTCAGAGGGTTTAGCTTAGCGTTCATAAACTTTGCTTTGAAATCCATTGGTTTTAAGCAGAAAACAATGTAGTTGCATCAGAGGTACAGGGGCTTGAATCAGCTCCAGGAGGGGCACAGCTAACTGAAAGTGGGGAGACATGAGTACCCGACCCCTGCCCAGAGTGCCCGGTGGGGCCTCAGGCCTGGCACAGCCTGGAGGGTGGCTGGGGACACAGGTGGGCTAAGATGTAGCTGAGTGGGGCTGCTCAGAGCGCTGTCTGCAAAGAGGCCGTGCCACAGGAGCCTGGCAGTGGCATTGCTGGGCAAAATAAAGCATTTAAAAAAAAAAAAGGCATTTGGAACAGGGTCTCACTATGCAGCTCAGATTCATGGTGATCCTCTTGTTTTCAGCCTCCCCACTGATGGAATTATAGGTGTGCATCAACCCAGTCTTAGTGGCCAGCTCAGTGCACCTGTGGGTGGGACCGGTGTGGCACCATGCCAAGGATCAAACTCTGGTCCCTGTGTTTGTCTAAATAGGTTCTTAGTCTGCTGAGCTATCTCGCCAGCCCGGAAGCACATTTTTAATACAGAGGGACCCCACCAGCCTGCCATTCTGAAGGCAGCCCAGGTATCCCTGATAAACCAGAACACCTCCAAATCGACCCATTTTGCATGATGACAGAAATGGCAAGTTCTACAACATGAAAGTATGTTTCCTGTATGAAATTATTAAAATTATTTTAAGTAAAATTGCCTTCAGATTCCATGTATAAGAGCCATAAACAGGCTGGGCATGATGGTGCAGGCCTGTAATACCAGCACTAGGGAGGCTGAGGCAAGAAGATAGCTGTGAGTTTGAGACCAGTGTGGGTCAGGAAGTGAGCTCAAGGCTAGCCTGAACTGCATAGTGAGACCATGGCTCAAATAGAAAAAAATTTTGAAAAGCCATCAACAAATTCAACGTTGAAACCCAGGTCCCTTCCCCTGATCGCTCACTGTGTGCATGTGCAGATAGATATTCCAGAACCTGACATGAAAAAAATACTGTCACTGGCATTTTAGATAAGGGACACTCCAGAGTCCCTAGCCACCAGCAGCACAAGAGGCCATTCCTGCCCTTCCATTTGATTCCTCATTTTCTCCAATCCTTGGAGGAGAGGAGGAAGAGAGGAAAAGAGGAGGAGGAGGAAGAGGAAGAGGAAGAGGAGGAGGAGGAAGAGGAAGAGCAGTTCTCGGCCCTGCCCTGGTTGTCCATTTCCACGTGTTTATTCTTTCCATTTCTTCATCAGAATCACTTTATTTTTTGCCCAGTTTTTTTCGTTGGGTTGTTTATGTTAAACTTAATTCATCAGCAGCTTTTTAAACATCCTGTATATTAACTGTTTTTCACATTTTCAGACATTTTTTCCCACAGTACAGACCTGGGGAGTAGATAGTGGTTATCACACAGCACCGGTGCCCACCTGGCTGGGCTCTGATTGGCAGCTCTGCCACTTCTGCGTAGTGAAGGGCAAGTTACACAACTTCTCCGGGCTTCTGCTGTGCTCTCCGTACAGTAGAGGCATCTTAGTCTGTTTGCGGTTGCTAATATGTAGTACCTGAGACCAGGGAATGTATAAAGAAAAAGAGGTCACTTAGTCATGGCTCTGGAGGCCAGGAAGTCCTTTTACTTATTTAAACCTGAGAGCTGGCCAAATAGCTCAGCGGATTAAAGCACCTGCCAGCAGTCACAGGGGCTGGGGGTTCAATCCCCTCCCCCGCCCCCCGGGGGGGGGGTGCTGAGATTTCCATTGAGACTGGGTGTGGTGGCGCGCACCTATAATCCCAGCTCTTGGGAGGCTGTAAACAGACAGATCACTATGAGTTCGATCTAGTAGTGAGACCCTGAACACCCTGTAGACCCTTCCCTAAAGTACAGAAAAATA